AGGCGTAAGTTATGCCGCATAACGCTTGTTGACGTGGTTAAGCCCGATTAAGCCAGTTGTTCAAACTGCAAATTGCTGCAGACACAGCATATTGTAGAGTTTTTAATGACCAGAAATTTTGGTGGGACGTTGCCGCTATGTGTTTATTGAATGTTGCAGCTTTTTTAAGTACACTATGATTGACTATAATCACTGTGATGATTCTGACGGTGGGAAGCGTTTTGTGATATCATGAGAAAAATAGCAATACAAGAATTATTAGGACAAATGTAATATTAGTGACTTACAAAACAGAACACGTTCCGAAGCACATATTTGAATTGTCAAAAACATCATTGACAGTACGTCATAACTAATACATACTGTAGGCAACATTAAGGCAGAAACATCATATGTACTTGTATGCACAGCGAAATCACCGGTATGGCGATTTTGGTTCCCATTTTATGTGAGAGATATTGTAATGCCGTAGAATTTTGGCAAGGGTTTTTGTAACTTTTAGGTATTAAATTATCTTGGGTTCACCTTAGAGAAGTTAGACGAAGGGTAATGTTTGAAGTACAATGCGGAAGAGCGCCGTCAGTAGAAATTTGTCGCATTGCTTAGACCGCGGATTCACGCCGAAGAGGTGCGAGAGGCTGTACAGCAAAGCATACACAGTGCCGACTCAGCGAGACGGCCGGAGGAGATCCAACACTCTTTACCCAGCTGACCAACGAGAGACGGACCGTTGGGGGAAAATTCGCTCTAGTGAAGAGGCGGAGCTTACCCCCAAAGACAGGTGTCAGCAAGGGGAAGGTTGTAAAGTTGCGGACGCAACTGGAAGAGCATCTATCTTGGAGTCTATCGTTGAATCGATCATTGAATTGATCATGGAATCTTTTCGGATCAAACAATCAATCTTTTGATCATCGTAACTGAGTGTAATAGCCAGCCAGAACCATGGTCGTGCCCGTCGTGCCAGACCAAGTGAGGGACACCATCAGCTTCCTACACCAAGTAAGTGGAACTGTTCATATCGGTCACGGATATACAGTGAGATATTATTAAAGTGTCATGTTACAGGGTTAGGGCAGAGAGAGAGTAGGCGTTGAGTAGGGACGTAGGAATTACCTCGAAAGCTAGGGATGGTAAACCCAAGTGCATCGTTATCCAAATTACAATGTGTACGTAACCGGCCACTGTCGGCCATGAAAGTGATATGTATAAAGTGTATATATTAGTAGATGAGAGTAGACCGAGTGAAGGGGATGTGTGGTGTTAATGACTTACCCCCAGTCACACTCTCTATTTCACCGTTCTCCCGTACCTCCCTGTGTCATCGGGACTGGGAACTCACAGCCATGAGGTAGTTAACGAGTCAAGTACCAAGTGCCTTGTAACTGGCCATTCTCCAAGGGCGCAACGGCATGGATGGTGGAAGAGGTGGAACGAATCCTCCATGCCCCCCTTTCCGCCATACCATAGGGTGACAGCGGTGGGATACCTTCACGCCCCCTGTCACCACAGCGTAACAGATATAGAAACTAGTAACTTTGTAATTGTGACATGATGTTCAGTCTGTGATGCACAATCAGAGATATTTTAGACACGGTTTAATTATGTTTTATGTAGAGACATTCCATGGTCTCTGTCACCTGTGAAAGAAAATTTGCACTTCTGTAGCAACATTCCTTGTGAACAGTGGTCGAAACTCCCATAGGGGAGAGGGAAACATTCAGAACAACCATCTATATTGAAGAAGGCAGTCTTCTGGGATTTGGCACCGTGTATATGTGGTGTTAACCGACGTTTCGGAGGAGAGAGGGGGGGTTTTCTAAGAGAACAGATGAGAGGTTTCCAAGACTTGCTGAGACAGAGAGGGGGGGTTTTGTCTCAGCAAGTCTTGGAAACCTCTCATCTGTTCTCTTAGAAAACCCCCCCTCTCTCCTCCGAAACGTCGGTTAACACCACATATACACGGTGCCAAATCCCAGAAGACTGCNCCTTTAACCTTGCCTTTCTCTTCCCTACACAAAAACACGCTTGTCCCAGCTCCCTTCCCCTACCCCTCCCACACTACTGCTTTCACTTGTATACTTGCCCTTCCCCCCTACCCTGACTGCTCTCACACAGCTGTGTATTTCCACACAGTCTGCTTTTACCGGTTCTCACGGTCTCTCCGCTTGCAGAATTCTTATATTTTTTCTTCTACCCTGAAGATGGAGGCGATACGTTCCTCCGAAACGTCGGTTAACACCACATATACACAGTGCCAAATCCCAGAAGACTGCCTTCTTCATAGTCACCGCCGTGAAAGCCTCAAATCTTACAACCATCTATATTCATACGCATGAACTATGTAGTCTGGAAATGACTGGAATCGATCATAATACATCTATCACATTCAATCGAATCACATAAATGTGAGCCAATCAGAGGATCTTAAATTTCTGTTGAAGATTTTGGGTGTTGCTCAGTAACGCTGAGGACGCTGAGTAACTGCATAGCCCAGGGAACATGTTCAATTCTGCCTCCTCTGAGACCTGAGGACCTGAGTAATGCTTTGATTCTACAGGATTGGAGATGGTGCCTGCACTGATATTCATTGAGGTTGTGAGAAAATATTGAGAGTTTGTCCAGTTATTAAAAAATGGTGTGTCTTGTTTCATATTTTTTATTCCTGGCAAGGGGAAGTGATTTTTCTCTTCTTCACAGTGTCTAGCTTGGCTCTGGGGCCCACCCACCCAGCCTGCTCTCCAATGGATACCAGGGGGTGTGAAGTTGACTACTTAGCTCTGTCTACTGCTGAGGTTAATAATCATGGAGCTATACCTCCACTCTTCCATATATCCTCATGGCATAGTGCTTAATTACTTAATTAAGTGCAGGGAAAACTTTACCTTTGTTTAATATTTTACAAGTTACTGCATCATGAAACAAGGGAGTTCTTTTTTGATGACTGCGCATTAACACACAGTAAGCATTATTGTTAAGAGAAATGGTATTTAACTTTAATCTTTAATATCCAAAGTGAATGTATCAGTACACTGAAAGGTGCAGTCATCATGACCAAAGTACACATATTCCTGCATTTAAACGTCGCTAGTAGAAGCATGTGCATGCCACTAGTAGAACTTATTTTTGAATATAGTAAAATTTAATGTACCTTTTTTTGTTATTCCCTTGCTGTACATATAGGCTGCACCCCTATTATATAACTGAATCACACCTTTGTTTGGTATTCCTCGAAGCACCCAAGAATGCACAATCCCACGTCACATACAGTATCTTGCACTTCAGCTCCTTTCAGTTTCATTATCTTCTGAACGATGTCTCATTGCCATTGTATGATGAAGTGAAACAACAGTATTCAAATTCACCATGAACTCACAGAAAACTGAATGCACACTGTATCTCAGGTACAATGCAAGCGTTTGGTTGTGCTCATAGAAAGGGCAATATTTTCTTTTGAATGCAATGGAAGGCACGGATGTACAGAATTTTCTCTCTAGTATCACCTTAATTCCTATATGTTTATCTTTCCAGTCCTCTAGTCAGCAGAGTTTAATATGTGAAGAGTGTAGTAAAAATGTGAACCTTGCAAAACAACAAGGTTTTTAGTGGTTCCAGATGTTTTAAGACACCAGAGACAGCTGAAGTATGCTAATTGCTACAAGAAGGAATGATTTTGTAATGCAGAACCACTCTGTGAAGAAGTGGGAAACTCTTTGTACCGTGTGCATAAAAAAGAAAGATGAAAGAATATAACTTTTTGGCTAAATACGTGTATTTGCAAATCTTACAGTATAATTTGTGACATTACTTACTTTGCTGATAGAAATGAGTTTATATCCATTCCATTATCATGAAAATTATATTAGGTACAGCATTTTAAAGTGCTTACAATTATTTAAAACACAAAAGAAACATATTCACAAGGGGGAGGAATGGTTCATTATGAGAATTAAACTGGGTATCTGTACTGTACACACACAATTTTGTTATTACAGATGTTAACATGCAATTCTTCTGAAGGTACCATGGCTGGATGAAGTCACTTGAGCTGCAACAGTTGACTGCGTCTGAACCATTGTCCCTTGAGGAAGAATATGAAATGCAGAGCATTTGGTTAATGGATGAAGACAGTGAGTTAATCACATAAGCCTATTTTACATACTAAGGCATCAGGTTATCTGTTCAAAAGTTTCTGGAAATTCATTCCACAATAATAGAGGACACCTTATGTATGAGGACCTAAACCACAAGACAGGTTTTCTTAAAATTTAGTATAGGAGATATTCACTAAACACTCCTGGAGGGTTTCAGCTTTCAGTCAGTATTACTCCATTACAAAATAATGTGACTCAGTTGCAGGGGATTCTGATTCAGTGCAATATATTGTCCTGTGGGGCAGTCCCAACCCTCCTTCTGGGGCCAACTGAATATAGGCTATGCATCACGGGGGTTAAGAGATTGTGACATGGTGCCAGAACATTACAAGGGGGCACGCATCAAGTTCACTTCAATAGGATCTCTGGGTCCGCAGAGAGGATGCAGGAGCCGTAGCCACCGTGGTGGGACATCTCCGTCTGCTCTCACTCGTTGGATTGGTTTATTCTGCATGAATGTTGTTTCTTGGAATTTATTCTTTGGATTCCAGCACTGAATCAGGTACGCAGCTTTCGCTCTCTTGGTATGATATGTGCTTAAATCACAATGCTTTCCTGGAATAATTTCTATTGCCAGTGTTTCACAGCACTCTTCTGTAGTTAAGAAACGAAAAGAAGAGTCATACGTGTATATAAATAATTCAATTTGAATAATCAGGATTCGAATATTGTCATTTAGCGTGTGTTCCTGCTCCAGGCCACATGCCTCCTCCCTGCTTGATGGAAGGGACCAAGTTTCCTTCGTTAAACTCCGTGAGAATTCGTCTCACAAGAAGTGGGTAGGGAAGAAACTTTCGGTTTGATGGCTAATGCCTGTGATATGGAAGCGAAGGAGTGTGTTCTTTCGATGATTATGTGAAAATTAACTGTTTATGTGTGATTTCAGCCTTGTTGGGTGTTATAAGTAACATTAAGTTTCATTAAAATATTGTAAGTGCATATTTATATGGAGTAAGATTGTATTTGTGATCGTATTTTGACGCATCAGAAAGAAGCCATCCGCGTTTAAGGGAAGCAAGTCTAATATTGAGGTACGAAGGGCATGGGCGTGATTAGACTACACGCACAGGACACAGCTAAAATGAATGCTGGCAGACAAAGCGACTGCGACTATGCAATCGAAAGCCTTTAAAACGGGGGTTTAATAGCAGGGACTTTTCTGAAAAGAAAATAATTATAGAAAGAGGACGACCGACATGCGAGTTGCCAGAACTTAAAGCACAAACCAAATTATGTGTGAGGAAATTTAATTTGGAACAGTATTCTAAAACAGAGTGGCTACCGGTTGCCGTAATATAGGAAAATTGTTTTGTTGGCCATGCCTGTTTTTTCTCAATGAAAAAAAAATGTATGAAACAGGACTGGGTTTGGTGATATCAACAACCTTCATAAAGCATTGAAACGACATGAGAACTCTCAGACTCACATTATTTCAACATTGCAACTTGTTATGTTCGGGAAATCTCGAATTGACTGTCAACTTGACAATCAAAAGCGCCTGACGATACTACATAGAGAAATAATGAAACGCTTGATTGATATCATCTGCCATTTAGGAAAGTGGCAACTTGGCCTCCGTGGTCATGACGAAAGCGTGGATTCTATCGACCGAGGTAATTATGTGGTATTAGTACACTTGTTGAGGAAATATGATCATAAACTAAATGTTCACCTTAAGAGTAGTACAGTATTTACAGGTTTATCGAACAGAATACAAAACGACCTGATTGACTCAGTAAGTGACGTAAAATTTGGTGAGTTGATTGCTATAAGTTCGTACATTAGATACCACTGCTTCCCTTACCAAAAATAGTACCGCATTCCACTGATTTATTGTCACATGATGCTAGTTCGAATGGGATCAGCAGCGTGTTAAGCCAGGGAACTATTGGAAAGGATTTTCCTGTTGCTTACGCAAGTCGTGTGTTGGCTACACCTGAAAAGAATTACTCCACCATTCAGAGGGAACTTACAGCAATTGTCTGGGCATGTAAACAATTTAGGCCGTATATTTTGGGAAGGAAATTTACAATTGTAACAGATCACAAACCTCTGACTTGGATCTTTCGGGTGAATGACCCAAGTTCAAGAATAATGAGATTAAAATTAAAATTAGAAGATTTTGACTATACCATCATATACAAGAGGGGTAACGAAAATTCGAATGGTGATGGATTAAGCAAGATGTACACAAGAACCGAAGAACACAAATGTATCGGAGTAGTAACAGAAGAAAAAGCAGTTACTTCGAAGGGCAGGAGGTAAAGGAAAAGGAGTTGTCTAGTAAGGAAGAAATTGAAATGTTTAGAGAAATGCACGAATCCCCCATAAGACATTTCATTAATTGGGAAGGCATGGAACGTGACAGAGAAGTGTGAGAAGTGTCAGAAGAATAAGATGATGCAATGTCACACCAGGTTGCCATTAACTATAAATGACACTCCTTCCACCGTTTTCGAAAAGTGTACAATAGATATTGTGGGAGCCGGTCACGGTAGCCAAGCGGTCTAAGACATGCACTGTCTTCACTCGCTTAGAAACCGGGATCGTGGATTCGAATCCTACTGAGGGCATGGATGTTTGTGTGCGTTTTTCTGTGTTTGTCTAGAGGTAGAGGCCTTGCGACGAACTGATCACTCGCCCAAGGAGTCCTACCATATGTGTAAGATCTAGAAAAACCGAAGTGAACGGAGTTCATGGAGGTAGGCCTAGGCCCACTAGGGCTGTAGTGCCAATGAAAAAAAAGAAGAAGATATTATGGGACCTTTCAATCGTAACATGATAGGGAATCGTTATATCCTGACCGTACAGGACGACATATCAAAATTTTTGATAGCAGTGCCGATGACCGAACATTCAGCAGATGAGGTTGCAAGAGTATTCGTAGACAATGTAATATTAATTTACGGAACACCACGGACTATTCTGTCAGACTGTGTATCGCAGTTCCTAAGCGATACATTCAAAGGAGTATGCAAATTATTATGAATAAAAAGAACACAGACCACTAGCTGGCACCCACAATCCAATGGGTCCAATGAACGAACACACAAAGGACTGATAGAATACACAAGAAAGTATGTAACAGCTGACTTGAGTAATTGGGATCATTGGGTGAAGTACGCCAAATTTGTTCATAACACGACGCCACACCGTGCAACCGGTTACATACAATTTCAATCACTCTTCAGCAAGTTGCCAAACTTACCGGGAACGCTACAGAAATACCCCGCGAATGACTTCTATACATATGACAGCTACGTAATGGAGTTGGAGGCCAGATTAAGAAGCAGATGGCTCGCACAAATCTGGAAACCGCTAAGTTAGAAAATAAAAATAATTGTAATGCCATAGAATTTCAGCAAAGGTTTTGTAACTCTTATGTATTAAGTTATCTTGAGTTCACAGTTAGAGAAGTTAGATGAAGGGTGAATGTTTGAAACAGAATGCAGGAAGTAGCAACGTAAGTATAATATCGTCACATGGCATAGTACTGCTGATTCACGCAGAACAAATGACAGTACAGCAAAGGCGTACAGAGTGCCAATTCAGCGAGGTGGCCTGAGCAGATCCAACACTCTCTATCCAGATGACCAACCAGTGACGAACCTTTGAGGGGAGAATTCACTCTATTAAGGGGCGGAGGTTACCCCAAACAGGAGTCAGCAAGGAAAAAGTTATAAAGTAGCTAACGCAACTCGAAGAGGGATCCACATCATGTAATACTACTACTTCTTCCTCAGCGACCTATGTATCTTTGTGTACAAATGTTAAGTGAGTAGTCAGCGAGAGGCCAAGAGGGCCAGAACCATGGTCGTACCAGCCAGAGGGGACACCATCAGCTTCCTACACCAAGTAAGTCGAACTGTTCATATCAGTCATGGATATAAAGTGAAATATTATTAAAGTGCCATTTTACAAGGTTAGGGCAGAGAAAGAGTGAGAGAGAGTAGGCCCTGAGTGGGAACATAGGAACTACCACGAGAGCTAGGATGGTGAACCCAAGAGTGTATTTATCTAAATTACAATGTGTACGTAACCGACAACTGTCGGCTATGAAAGTGAGATGTATATAAGTGTATATATTAGTAGACGAGAGTAGACCAAGTAAGGGGGACGTGTGTCTTAATGACTTACCCCATAGTCACACCCTCTATTTCCCCAATATCCCGTACCTCCCATTTTACCGATACTGTGAACTCACAGCTTACAAGTAGTTAATGTGACAATTACCAAGCACTTAGCCTTACAACTGGCCATTCCCAAAGGGTGCAACAGCACGAATGGCGGAAGAGGTGGAAAGAATCCTCTACTCCTCCCCCCCTTTACGCGATAACAATAATTATGACCTGGAAAGTTCTTGTCCCTATATTTGAGGTAGGAACAAAGGTGTTAGTGAAGGACGAGAGCGTCCGCCGTGGCCGATCTAAGAAGTTAGAAGCTGTGTAAATAGGCCCGTATGAGAACACAACAATGGAAGGCCCGATCCTTGTACTACATACCAGGAAAGGAAAAGAAATGAAGATTCACACAAACCAAGCTAAGATATTTTTCACATAATTGCGGATGTGGGCGATCGTAACAGCTGTACTAATCAGTTGCCTAGGCTCGAGCGCAGCCTCAACGTATGAAACAGGCCATTACCGAGCTCACCGGGACTGTACTACGAGCCCGAAGCCGAAATGAGACTGTACAACAGTGAATGGAAAACAGTAACATACCTCAACTTACAACAGGCAAGTGACAATGTAGAAGTGATAGGCAAATACCTAGGAACCACCGTAGATTTTTGTAAAAAACATGATAATTTATTATGGCTAAATTTGTCAGAATGTAGAACCCTGTTTCTGATGACACCAGGCAATTTGAGGAGCTGAAGGGCATGAGAAATCTGGCACACCAGTTAAGCAGAAAGGAAACGAGTTTTGTCAGGAAGAGAAGAGGGCTTTTCAATTTTATCAGGCATATTTCAAATTAATTATTTGGAATTTTAGACTCAGAAAACGAAAATTCTTTAATCAAAAGATGTCAAATTTAGAAGGGGAGCAGTCAGACCTAATAAAACTGAAGAAGGAACAGATGGTCATTGCGAAATCTACCTTGAAGTCGGTGAACAAAACTTTAAATGACGTAACAAAAAATTAGTTGATTTTAGAAAAGGGCTTACAGGATATTAAGAACGTTGTCAATGAGGAGAATGGTGAAATAAAACGGAAGTACACATACACTTCAATGTTGGTGATGTTAAATGATCATGCAATGCAATTCAACTGCAGAGAGCTTTAGAGGGCGTTAAAGATGAATATGACATAATAATTCAGTCTTGTCTGAAGGCCAAAGGCGGAATATACAGCCACAGGTGTTGTCGCCAAGCCACATGATTGAAACTTTGAAGTCCAGTCAGGAATCTGTTCCGCGTGACTTACAAGTTCCAGTTACACTGAGCGATGCTTACGCCTATTTACTTGTAAATATTCTGAGTGTAGATGTTTATATTGTAAATACTACCTTCTTTTTAAAAGAACACCAGCGAACAGTTTGATTAGAACATGTGACCGCAATCACCTTGTAGCGGCTTTATGAATCTTCGAAGCCTATTTGAGCTGTAGTGACCCTTTGGTTTTGAACAGACCATTGCTGGCTGTCCTGTTTCGTCTATTGTTAGAAGCCATATTTGGTACCTTGCGCCTGAATGTCGAGAGTTATGAGCCAACAACAAAATTACACGCAGACAAGCCGTAAACTTGCCTTCGGGTTGCAGACATATCATATTTTTCACACAGTCGTATTCCAGTGTTCAGAGTGCTAAATGAAATTAAACTTGTACAAAGCAAAAATTAAGAAATTTTGATTCTCATTATACACTGTGTTCCCCCATTAACAGTAACCCGATTTCTCGCATGTCGGTGGTGCCGGATAATCTAAGTAACCCTAAGACAGTTCAATTGCATGCAACAGACTACTGCGGTTAATTAAAGTTCTTAGTATGTGAATCAGAGCTTTCTGTTCTGATTGCTCACGAGTGTGATTACCGAACAGTCAGGATCTAACTATGTGAATTCACCCTCCGGCCAGTTGAACCTCCCCACCTGTAGCGGAAGCGCTGAATGAAATTCACGCAAACGCTACTCTCTCCAGCCCTTATTTCATACTTCATAGAAATGACCGAGGGTCACACAGTGGCATGGTTGGTTGGGGCATTCTGCTGTGGCCGGAAAGTCACGTGTTCGTGTCTCGTTGTGGTCATTAGATTTTTTAATTTACCTAATATTTCCAAGGGGGTACGTGGTAGCGAAGTTGGTTGATCCAGCCTCTAACAGAAATGAGTAACAGGAATATTCTTGGAATGTTCTTGGGGGTAAAGGGCGGCCGGCGCTTAAGGCTGATAACCTTACCGTCATCTATGAGCCGACTGTCTAGAAAATGTGGGAACCTCAACATCTCACAACCCTATGGGCCTCCACGGCCTGTTACAGGGATACATTTACTTTACTTACTTTCACTAGCGCCATGGAGGCCTCTGCTGCCCCTGGTTCTGTTGGCTTTGATTTCCGCGAGGTGGGTCCTGGCGTCTCTGATGATCGTAGGGCGGCCCCTGCCGTCCCTGAATGTGTAGGGCCGTGTCGTTGGGTGCGTCCCTGGGTTCAGGGGCGGCAGGCACTCTAATATCCCTGACGACCCTTTCTGATTGTCGGAGTATGTCCTGAAAATAAAAACTAAGTTAGAAGGATTAATGGACTTGTACAGGACACTGGAACACACATGTTCAGTCCTCAGCTTCTCATTCTGAAGGTTATTCCGTAGGCGAGCTTCCAAGTTCAAGTGTCGACTTGGAATACTTTAATTGTTACGAAGCTGAAATGCGTTGACTTATATTATTTTATGCTCTGTGCATAGGATGCATCTAAAATGGAGATCTTTGAACAACTCCATTACAAGGTTCAGTAAGTATTCCTATCTGGAACTGACAACTTTCAGTCACGTAGCCCACAGTTCCGGCATGAAGCAGTGATTGCATGTTTCTCTACATGCAAATAAGAGCGTTAGGTCTCCAATACTCGTTTATAAACTCACAGCTCTAAAATTATGTAGCTTACAAAGGAGGGACGACAGATTGCACGAGTGTCTGGTTTGAAGCTGAACTGTACAGTGAGATCATTACCTGAAGATATTCTTATATTGCGTCCATAAATGTGGTGTCTCAAAACTAATTGAATGTCATTATGTGTGTCTCATGTAATTAAATGTAGGAGAGACATCGACACATTACACTAATTAACCGGACAGGTTGACAAAACATTAACAGACACTTGACATAAATGCAAATAAAGCTTGAAGCTGTCCCTGTGGCGGACCGTGGTGGCTCATAGGGTGATAAGGCGTCGAGGCTCCCACATTTTCTGCACGGCCGGCTCACGGTTGGCGATGGGGGTTTTGAGCATTACGCGCCGGCCGCCTTTGCGCCCGAAGGGGTACCTGGTGTTCGTTTAAGTTGGAGGCTAGGTTAAACCACAGGCCCATGGCGCGGCTGGAGGGATTGGGTCAGTTGAGGAATCCAGTGAACTCATCAGGGATTCCAATTTTTGGTCGGACTAGTTTGTTGCGGTATGCAGTCTTCAATATAAGCTATCAATTACGTCTATTCTGGGCTCATTTAAAGAGTAAAAGAGTAAAATGGTAAAGCTATCCCTATAACTGGCCGTGAAGGCCATAGTGTTGTGAGACGATGAAGGTCCCACATTATCTAGACAATCGGCTCAAAGATGGTGACAAGGTTGTCAGCCTTACGCGCCGGCCTCACTTTACCCCCCAAGAAAATTCCTGGTACTCATTTCTGTTAGAGGCTGAGTCAACCCGAGGCCCGTAATGCAGTTGGAAGGATTAGGTCAATTGAAAAAATCCAATGACCTCATCGGGACCTTCCTGCAACCTTCCAACTTGTAGCATAGTGCCTCAACTAACTACGCTACCGCGAGTATATATAATATAATTTAATTTTATGTTGCCTTGTCATAGTTTACTTACTCCCGTTTTCTTAAATTTTGATTTCTCGTGTCGCATTTGACAGTAAATATATATTTCTTAGTATTTCAGAGCTACGTTTATTTCTAATAGCTTATTATTATTACTTTGCTTTGATTTGTGCTTTGTATATGTTTGTTTTCTTTCTTTCGCTCGTGCTCACTGTGTAACTGGTCCTGGGGCTGTTGGGTTGGCACGCAGATAAATAAGAATTTAACTGAATTATTATTGTGCGCCAGTTCCTCATTTACCGATCACGGTGGTCGCGCGGTCCGGGGCGTGGGCCGTCTTCACCCGCTCGAGTGCTGGGATCGTGGGTTCTGGTCCCGTTCGGGGTACGGCTGTCTGTGTGTGGGTGGTGGCCTTGTGGCGGGCTGGTCCCTTGTCCGGGGACTCCGTATGAAATGTATCCAAAATAAAAATGTATATCTTGGAAACTAATTTTCATACATGTATCCGGTTTATGTCAACGGAATAAACAACTCACGACCGGCTTGCGCGCATGCGCCACCTGATTGCCTTCCGCGAGCTCTGTATCAATCGATAGCAATGTCGACACCACAGGTACAGGTTCAATTCTTGTTGTGGCTACCAGAGTTGCAATTTCTCACAGCTGTCCAGCGCTGTTTCAGACACAATATGGACGTCAACATTCTACAGAGAAAAGCATTCGGTTCTGGAACAAAAAACTGAAGACTACAGATAGTCTGTTGCGAGTAAAATCTCCTAGAAAGACACGGACCTCTGAAGAAAATGTCAATCGCATTAAAGTGACATTTCAGCGAAGTCCGGACAAATCAATTCTTGCTGCCAGCTTGCAGTTACACATTCCACGTTCAACAGTGCTCCTCCTAGGAGCGTAAGGTAAAAGTAAAGTTGTCCCTGTGCTTAAGAAATTAAACACTACGCCATGAAGACGTATGGGGAGTGGATGTATAGACCCAGGTTTTCTTGACCTCGGCATTATTTGGAGGTGAGTGGTTAGCTTCACTCCCTGGCCGTTTTACTCCCGGGGTAAGAGCCCCAGGTACCCATTGGATAGTATGTTGGGTGGGCCCCGCAGCCGGTCTGGATGCTGTTGAGGAAAGACCCTACCAGAATTTTAACTCCGACCCCTAGGTCATCCAGCCCGTATAAAGTCGCTATATCGACTACGCTATCACAGCCCTTTCTTTGTTGGTAAACTGCAACTATTTAAAGAGTCGGCGGCAGAAAGTGGAATCTCCCCGCAGGGAGACTTGACCTTGCAAACTGAACTACATTTTTCTTTAATTTGACCAATTGCCTAGAGAGAGTAATGCTTGGAAAGTAACGAGTCAACTGCCATGATACTTACAAGGCGGAGGTCGTTGAGCCACTTCAGAATAAGAAGAAACATGACAACGCCAAGGATACCCTGCAACACATCAGTACAGGAGTCACATGAGATTTAATCCTGATTGAAACTCGCCTACTGACTGAGGTTCTGAAATTTACCTCTAAGAATATATGGCGATTCGTTATTTACCAAATCCTGTGCAGGAAATTTGAGTGAATCTCTCTCTCTCTCTTAGAAAACATTTCAACACACCATTTAAATAAAAATATAATGTCATGTAAAGGAACGGGAATTCCTTTACTGCTTTTCTGAAACTTACCCAGTCATCATAAATTTCTCTTATAGTTCGCATGAACTCATCTGTCATGCCTAAAAAAGAAAGAATAAAACGGCCTCAGTATGCTACACAGATATACAATCAAATATTTCATTTTGACAATCATTGGATCTAGTTGTTTCATTAAATCTGAGAAGAGAATAAAACGACTACAGTATGCTACACAGATATACACTTACAATCTAATTCCTGACTTGTCACCGTAATGTCAATTTGTTCCTGTGCCGAACACAACACTTTTAGTGTGTGTGCACTCGTGGAGGAGCACCTAACCATTCATTATTACCCAGTTGGGTCCACAGCGTTTGATTCAGTCCTGTTATATTCTGAGTCAAGTCAGTCAAATGTCAAGTCAGTGGGGAAGTCAGCTTGATTTAGTTTTATCTGGTTCATGATTTGAGCTTGTGCAATAACATGTGGCTAGAGTATGCCCGAAGCTCTGTCTAGTTGCGCCGAATGCTTATTTACAACAAGCAGCATGGGTGAGGATGTATATATTTTCTTTATCTTATCACCATGTTCATTATTCCCCAGCCCTCACGATCGTCCATTCTTGTTTTCAAATACGTCTTGTAATGTCGTATGCATCTTAAAGTCAATTTTACGACTGTTACCTGTTCTTTGGAAAGTTAAGAAATCAGCGTGTTCCATTTCGAAATCCCCTTTTTTGTCTGTGTAATATGTTGCGTGTTCGCTATCCATAGTACCAGACAAGATTTTGCTAATTCCACCAATGAAGTTAAAAGGCCTCTCTTATAATGCAATTGAATAGCTTCGTCTTTGATTCTCGTTAACTATTTTACAAGTAGTTTAATATTTTCTACTTCAATAATCTATTCAAATACCTGATGGTTTTCATAAAACCAGGGACTGTTATAATCATTTGTAATTACGAGTTACAGTATGTGTGTTACTTACGATGAGCATATGCAATCAAAGATAAGAGGAAGTCACTATCTCTGCTTCCCATTTTGATCTGAAACAATATATGAAAAGAAATTATATAAGGGACCAAACAGAGGTGTCCTCCCCCCACCTGAGGACGGAAACACGTCTAGTTTCCGAAAAGTTATTTTTTCTAGTTAATTAATTTTTTAATTCACTTAGTGTGGGAACAACGATAACAGATCGAAACCTGATTCAGGAGGAAATTAAGAGGCGATTGAACTTGGGTAATGCTTGCTACCATTCAGTCCAGAACCTTTTGTTTTCTCGTCTGTTGTCCAAAAACATAAAAATTAGAATATACAAAACTGTAATTTTGCCTGTAGTTCTGTCTGGGTGTGAAACTTGGTCTCTGACATTAAGGGAGGAACATAGACTGAGGGTGTTTGAAAACAGGGTGTTCAGAATATTTGGGCCAAAGAGGGATGAAATGACAGGAGGTTGGAGAAAACTGCACAATGAGGAGCTTCATAATTTGTACTCTTCTCCAAGTATAAATAGAATGATCAAGTCAAGGAGGATGAGGTGGGCAGGTCATGTAGCACGAGTGGGGAAGACGAATGCGTATAGGATATTGGTGGGAAAGCCAGAAGGAAAGAGACCACAGGGAAGACCAAGGCGTGGGTGGGTGGACAATATTAAAATGGATCTTAGAGAGATAGGATGGGATGGTGTGGATTGGGTAGATCTGGCTCAGGATAGGGACCAGTGGAAGGCTCTTGTGAATATGGTAATGAATCTTCGGGTTCCATAAAATGCTGGGAAATTATTGAGTAGCTGCAGAATTGGCGGCTCCTCCAGAAGGGCTCAGCTCCATGAATAAGTAAGTAAGTGTGGGGATGGAGTCCTAATTGGGTCTCCTCGGAACTGCGGCCACTGATTGGCCTATTGTACCTGCCCCAGGTGATTATGATGATGGGGAATTGCTGGAATGAAGGTGTTTTCTAGTTACTAGAATACTGGAAGATGGACAAAGTCCAAAACCCAAAAATTGTCAGTAGATAAGTGTTTATGCCATCTCCATATGAAGGGCAACATCAGTAAGACATGGCATTCAATTTATTATGGGGGGTGCAAAGGCGAAGATAGGAAAAGATCCTGTAATACGTACAACACGTGGGACACCATAACCTTCACGATAAATTCAATAACAACAGAGTAATGATGGCCGATTTCCTGTCACCGGAAACTTGCTTAAAAATAGTACGTTTTCACCTAAGACTTTTCCGTAAGAAAAAAATGGATATCTCAATGGTTGGACAAGAAATTAAATTGACCATGTTATGATAGATGCAAGATAAGCAAGGAGCCTTATCGATGTGCGATCCTATAGAGGTGCCGAATGTAACTCGGATCACTTCATGGTAAAACTAAAATACAGGACTAAAATATCAATAGTTAACAGAACCAATACCAAGTACATGCAAGGTTGTGGCTCTCATACCAATATCCTATATGAATTCTTTTCTCTCCCATTTGTACTACATGCCCTGGCCATGTCATCCTCCTTGCCCTGATGATTCTAATTATATTTGTTGAAGAGTATAGTTATGGAACTCCTCATTATGCAGTTTTCACCTGCCGCTTGTCACTTCATCTCTCTTCCATCCAAATATTCTCCTCAGCACCTTGTTCTCAAACACCCTGACTCTATGTTCTATGACTCCATGACCAAGTTTCCCACCCATAAAGAACCACAGAAAAATTATAGTGTCTTGTATTCTAATTTTTATGTTTTTAGACAGCAAACAAGAAACCAAAGGGACATATATAAGAGATCAACATTCACACAACATCCATGAACTAAACGAAACTCGAATATATCCACGCTACTGAAGACTGCATTAATAGGTCCCACAAGGAGACTGGAATCTACGTCTTTACTATATTCAATAGGATGACCTATTATAATTTGAATTCTAGTTGCAATTTTAATTTTAGGTTGTGGCAGACTGTGCAGTGCAACAGTTTTAGCATAGCGAACATGATGGCCATGCACGGCCAAAACATGTCATGAATGGAGAATTAAAGGTGTTGTATTAGTGACGGAAATGTACATTATATAAAACAAGCACTATATTGGTGCAACGGGATGCTAAAATACAATATAAATTTATTATGGTCTAAATGTTTGTGACAGTGGTACATTAGTGAAAATATTATTCTATAGAAGATTTTAAAATTAGATTATGTGATGAATTGTGGGAGAGTATTTGTAGCAACTACGATTAAATGGATGTAGATTCGTTATTTATTGTGTTTCTGAATAACTATCTAAGAATGTTCTACACTAGTTTTCCTCCCAAAGAAGTAACTGAGAGGGTTAATAAAAACCACTGGATAACACCTGGCATAAGGATTTCCTGTAATCATAAAAATATTTATATTTACTTAGTATAGTTAGTAAAAAAAGGTAAAGATATCCCTGTAAGAGGCCGTGGAGGCTCATAGGATTGTGAGATGTCGAGGTTCCCACATTTTCTAGACAGTCGACTCATAGATGGCGGCAAAGTTGTCAGCCCTACGAGCCGGCCACCCTTTACCCCCAAGAATATTTCTTGTACTCATTTTTGTTGGCGGCTGAGTCGACCCCAGGGCCATAATGCGGCTGGAAGGATTAGATAAATTGAAAAAAAAATTCCAATGACCTCATCTGGTCTTGAACCCGCGACGTTCTGGCTTGTAGCATAGTGCCTCAACCAACTACGCTACCACATGACCCACTTAGTAGAGATATGGGGGTCGTACTGAAAGTCACGAGCAACAATTTTTTTTAAAGTAACATGCTTTAGTATTGACAAACCAAATACACCACCTCAATCTACAGACCTTTCTTTATTTTTTCCACATAATCGCCATTTCTTTGTACACATATCTCACAGCGTTCTGGGAGTTTGAAAATTCCCCTTCTGTAAAATTCTGTTCCAGCCATCTCAAGACACTGATGCACTGCTTTCTGAATTGCCTGATCCTTCACAAATCCAAAAAGATGGTAGTAGGAGAGTTCCAGATCAGGGCTATAGGAGGGGTGTGGAAGAACTTCCCACCCCATCTTTGCAATTGCTTCCAATGTGAGGCGAGCAGCGTGGGGGCGAGCCTTGTCTGCAGGATGATGTTTCGTCCCGGACGTTTATCGCGCAATGAACGACGGAGCTTGTGCAGCGTCTTGATATAACAACCAGCATTGATGGTTTGCTCAGGTTCCAGGAATTCGGCCAGAACACTGTGCCCATCACCTTTGCAGCTGATGGCACTGTCTTTTCCTTCTTTTTTGATGGAGAATGCTAATGGTGCCATTCCATACACTGCCGTTTCGTTCCAGGCTCAAAATGGTGAAATCAGCTTTTGTCATCTGTCACAATACAGAGCAAAAAATCAACGCCTTCGTGTCGACATCTCTGCAGCAGTTCTGAGGTGATGGCTTTTCACTGACCTTTGTGGTCTTCGGTCAATAACTGTGAGACCCAACGAGCACAAACTTTCCTATAGCACAAGCTTTCACTCATCTCCTGTACTGCACTGTGCCCTATTCCAAGTTTTCGGGATATTGTGTTCACAGTCACACGCCTGTCATCTTGAATGATCTCATCCACTCTTTCCTAGTTGCGTCCAGTTGAGGCTGTTCGAGGACGACCGCTCCGAGGCTCGTCTTCGATGCTGGTGTTCCCATCTTTAAAATGTTTCACGCATCTTCGAACACTGCTCGCACCCAAGCACACACTTCCATAAGCACGCTGAAGTCTCTGGTGAATTTCTGCAGCAGGGATTTCCTCTTTCACAAGAAATTCGATGAGAGCATGCTGGCGAAACGACATATCGTTGTCGGCCATTTTGTTAAGAGTGAAACTGGTCACGTGATGCAAGCTATTTGCGTCATAAGACACTCAAAGTTAACACAACAGCTGGTTCCACCGACCACCATACTCTCTTTCGTCTGCTGTTCCCAGGTTGCATGCAAAAAAAAAGTTGCTCATGACTTTCTGTACCACCTATGTAGTAATGGTATAAACTTCAAATGGTATTACAAGCAATACTGTAAAATATGAGCAAGGGTGATTAAAGAAGCTAAAAGGTCGATGTATAATAATCAGGTTGTTAACACTGCTAACAAAATGAAAACAACCTGGAATATTATAAAAGCAGAAACAAATAGAGTAAAGGGACATACGTTTAGTAAATATCAAAATTCTCCTGTAGCTTTTAACAAATATTTCCTGTCAGAAGCTGGGGAAATTATTCAGGACATTAAAAATAACAACATAGAAGGTTCTAATAATAATGAAGACCAAAATACTACATGTCTTCACTCATTTCAGAATTCCTTCTTTAAAATAAAATTTAAAAACACATCCACTAAAAAGTTGAAAGAATTATCAGATTGCTAAGATTATAGAATTCACATCATTATGGTGGAATCTCCACAAAGATACCAAAGGTTAGTGCTCCCTTTATTAGCTCTCCTCAAAATTATATTTGTAAAAATCCATAATATCAGGAATCATCCCTACTCGCTTAAAATATTCTATGATGAAACGTTTATTTAAGAAAGCTGATAATGAAAACATGACTAATTATAGACCTATCTCTTTATTAACTTCATTTTCTAAAGTATCTGAAAAAATAATATATGATAGACCTTTGTGACATATGAAAGCTAATAATATTTTAGCAGCTGAACAGTTTGGCTTCAGACCTGGTACATCAACAGATAAAGGCCTCCTGTAGATTGACTGATGAAATATTGAAGACATTGAACAATAGAATGATGGTTGTAGGTATTTTTTATGATTTGCATAAAGCCTTTGACACTGTTAATCACAACTCTGTGTTAACAAAACTGGAGTTTTATGCAATAGGAGGCTCATCACTTAACTAATTATCTTACCTAGAGGGCAAATACCAAAGAATGATTTTAGACAACTCTCATGATTCCAGCTTAAACTTGGGATTCAAAAAGCGTGGGGTCCCACAGGGATCAGTACTTGGACCATTGCTTTTTCTACTCTATATCACTTACAATTTACACCTATT